TGAATGAAGCGCTTGTCTACAGTTTAAACAATAGAAGATACTGATAGTTCCTAAATATCATAAAGTAGATATACTTTCAGGTGCATAGTTTTACATATTCTAACTTTAAAATAATTATTAGATACTTAGCACTCACTGGCCCTATGGCAGTTGAATGAAGTACATCTAAGCCTCACTGCTTTAGAATTTCAAAGCTTTTATTCTTTGAATTAGGATGAACATAGTAAACAGTTGGTAAAAACTGAGATAATTTAGTACCTGATACAACACTATCAATACATTAGTTACAGCAAAAGTAGAATGTAGAACTTCAAATGCCAGTGAGTTTTACTAGAGGGCATTCTCATCTATTAAGAAAGCATGTGGAAAAGGAGTTGACAGGAAGGAAGAAACAAAAATAAAGGGAAAAAATAGTTCCACAGACTCCTTGAAGGAAATCTGATCGGGAGTGTAGTCATTCCTGGAAAGGAACAGATGCTGTGCAGTCTGACTCTAGGCAAGAAGAAGTCTGAAGTGATTAGGGAATTCAGAGTACAGGTCTGTCAGGCTTCACCTTCTTTTATTTATGTATGTATTTACTTATTTATTTTTTGTTTTTCAAGGCAGGGTTTCTCTGTGTAACAGCCCTGGATGACCTGGAACTAGCTCTGTAGACCAGGCTGGCCTCAAACTCACAGAAATCTACTTGCCTCTGCCTCCACAGTGCTGGGATTAAAGGTATGTGATACCTTCACCCCCCCCCCCCCCCAGCTAGGTGTCATCTTCTTAATAAAGAAACTAAAGTAGCTGGCTGTGCTTGCACATGTTTGTAATCCCAACATGGTGGCCAAAGCAGGAGTACTCTAAGTTCAAGGCTAGCCTGGACCACATAGTCAGTACCAGCCCAGGCAGGGATATACAGCAAGACTCTCCAAAATGGGGGAAGAGGGGAGTTTTAACTTTAAAAAGTGGGTTTTCAATGGGAGAAAGCAAATCAGTTGATGTCCTCCCTCTAAGAGGCCTTTGTTTCCATTTCTGTGGCTAAACCCCTGATGTACTCCTTTATCATTTCTCAGATTATATTTGAAGCCTTCTATATAGCTCCTCTATCTACCAACTTTCTCTTTCCAAAAGCATGGTTTATTCTCCAGACAGCCCACATTTTCTTCCATGTTGACACTGTTTTTATGAGAAGTTTAGCCCTTAAAAAGGCTTCTTTAGTCACAATACACCAGATAATCACATTCTCCCGACTGCTGTTGCACTAATTCTCTTCCTTGCCTGGTCTGTACTTACTGTTCTGTGCCACAATCACTTCTTTATGTCACCTCCAATAAACTGTTTAAAAGGAACATCATCCTTCCCGCTCCTACTCCTCCAGCATCTAATGCAGTTTCTGATACATAATACATTTCTGTCAATGTTTGTTTGGTTTAACTCAAGTGAGCAATTAAACAAATGAGTAACCTCTCAACTAAGGGAAATTAGAAAAAAAATGTTCAAATTCACACTATTTCACATAGCCTTCTTGCTCTTCTAAACACTAACAACAAGCTTGACCATCAATATCAATAATTTAAAAAAATGTAAAACTCAGTGTTGAGTTTCATTTTAATAATATCTAATAGAGAAGTGTCCATTTTCTGGGAATACATTCTGAGCACTACACTAACAGGCTTACTCTAAAGAACACTGTGTCTTTTCAAGCCTGAGTTAGTACCAGAAAGAGATGCACTGTAAAAGAAGTAAAAAGACTATGCTTGCTGTAGAAGTAGCTAACGGAAGCATTTGGGGGTTTGCATTTGTTTTAAAAGATACATTTTGGTGTCCAATACAGGGAGTATTTAATGGTATCAGTAGCAAATTGGGGACTTTCACAAATTAAGTAAAGTAGGTTTCTGAACAAAACTGAAAGTAAGAATTACAACTAACTTTAAGATTTACTAAATGGGTTCCTAAGTCAAAATTAATCCATCAACAATTTTTAATAGAAGCATTCTGTCATTCCATAGCAATAACACCAGTACCAAAACCAAACTCTCCTGGACCTCACCCTCAAGAGACTCATAATACAAGTCAATCATTGTAACTAAAAGCTTTTTGATGTTAGGAAGAAAAATGCTAAGGTTCACGGAGTACAATGTCATACCTAATCCTAAGTACATACAACAAACTGTACTTCTAGCTAAACTTAGTTGGTTTTTTGTTTTGTTGTTTTGTTTTTGTAGACAGGTCTCATGTAGCCCAGGCTGGCCTTCAATTCACAATCCTGTCTCAATCTCCTAAATGCTGATACTACCACCATGAACCACATTGCTTGGCTGGTGATCTCTTTTGAAATGAAAAATATTTTTTCCAGAAACATATTATCTATCAAATGCCCCTTTTCAGATACACCCAATTAATAAAGTAGACTATCTCAAGAAGGAATTCTGATTCCTTGACTGAATTTGTAATAGTATAAACAATAATTTGGGGTTGGGGAGCACACTGTGTCAAAGAAGTACTTGCTGCAAGCATGAGGGATTCAAAACTCAGAGCCTATGTAAAAAAAGTGTTCCTGAGGCAGAACACCCAGGCTGTCCTCTTGCTTCCACATACATGCACACATGTGCCTCTGTATCTGCCCATGTACATGCAAACACACAATCACTTGCCATGCTTTTTTAGTATGATTTAAAGAATCCCAATTTCACTGTAGAGAAGCAACTAATACTAAACGTTACTCATAAACTACAAGATTTTATGCTGCGTAATCAATTAAGAACTACCTTCATTTACCTTTCACTTTCTTACTAACACTTTAAAGTTTTTTACCCCAGTTGGAAAAACCAGGAGGGAAGCAAAGTCAAATAACTTGTCCCAAATCCCCCCCAACTATTTTTGCCCCTGAGATTACAATCCAGAATTATCTGACTTTACAATAGTTATCTTAACTATATATGAATGTCTCCCTTAGGGATTACCTCTATGTACAATGAACATGTTTGTCCACCTACACAACAAAGTTCTCAAAATAATCTGAGTAGGAGCAAACACTGCTGTAGCACTCAGCAAAACAGATATGTGGTTGCTCAAACTTTATCTTTTTCTGTATATAATCCAATCTACAAGCAGCTGTTCTTCAGCTGCAACTCCGACTACTCATTAGTCTCAAATTATTACCTAAGTTTAATTCATGAACTTCTCGTGTGTTCCACAAGCCTTTGAACAATGACATGTTCATCAAAATAACACTTTTCTCTAGTCAACAGTTTCACTATATAATGAACCTAACTCCTTTTTTCCCATAAACTTCCTTATGATTTAGGGTTATTTTCCCACAGACTTCTGTCTCAGAGTTGTGTGTAGCTTCAACTGTACAACTAAGATCTATTTCCAACAGCACATCCAAGCAGGTCTTTACTGTAGGTACTAGGCTCAAGTTTACCTCCGTGCTCTTTTCACACTACTACTTTTCACACTACTTGGATACAAAATAAATCACTGACCTACTGCATAGTTAGCAAAGTGCAATGCTAAATCTCAGGTCGGTATTATGAGCCTCATTAGAATACCTGCTGGAAAATCTACTTTGTGTAAATTTTTCATGTCTACATTATATTACGTTCACAAATTTGCAAAAAAAAAAAAAAAAAAAAAATTAGTTAAAAGCCTGATGTTTCTCTATACTGATTCTCAAAGCTATCCACTGGAAACAAATGTTCCAAATCACTGACTTCATTAATTGTGGTTTCCAGGACTTATACATGGCTGCATTGCATCTTTTGAAAGGGCTTGTTTACTCAAAACTTAACTTCCTGAACTATCAGAGCCAAATACTAAACAACAAATATGTACTCATGTAACTAAATCAAAACTGGTCTTTCAGTCTACACAGGAGTCTTAACAATACAAAAACTGAAACAAAACTAAGAAGGCATTATACTGTCAATACAGAGATGGATGGGTATCCTTAAACCCCACAAGCACCAAATACTTTATTGAGTACAATACAGGGTAAAGCCATCATCGACAACAACAAACGTGTCATGTAGAATGTTTATGTCTTTAAAAAAAAATCCTAAGGCGTTTCACGGATCTCAAAACATGATTCTGTACAGCAGAACTAGTTAGTTACACACTCTATAAACTACAGCGCTGTGGAATAGGACCGACGAAATCTATAGACCAAATCCTGTTTATGGCATGAGGAAGAGAAAAGAATCTTGTATATAGCTACTAGTGCTTCGGCGAGATATTGTGGAATGAACACCAGTACCGTGGCCGGTGACCGAAGAAAGAAAGGCCAATCGCTAGGCGGATACAGGTCTTAAGACTACAACAACCCGAGCTTGCCCTGCAGAGAAGGTGTAAACAAACCCATCTCCACTGCAGAAGGTACACAATGAACCTGCAGCCGAGCGAGGGGGCGGGCTCTAGCCAACTCCAGACCCAGCGGGCCCGGCCGGGAACGGGAAGCAGCAGGGATACATGGCAGAAACCAGACACTTAGCAGTAATCACCGGCTCTCGATTTCACCGCCGACTTATCAGAGCTGCGGCTCCCCGGAGCGCGCGGACAGAGCAAAAGCAGTCACGCAGTCGGCAAGAACCCAGCAGGTCCAGCATCTGCTCCGGGGGACGGGGAGGGCAGGATGTGGTCGCTCTTCCCTCAAACATCCTCCAGTAGCCTAAATAACAACGTCTACCTCCCCCACCTCCTCCCAGGCCGCCCCCGGGGTTCGGGGGCCCGGGAGCGGGGACGGGAGCAAGAATGTCCCAGCGCGGCGGGGGTGTGAGGGGAGTCCGGAGAGCCCGGGCCGCTGGCTGCGGCGGGTCCGTCCCGCGCTCCCGCGCTCCCGCAGCCGCCCGAGGCCCGGAGGGGCTCAGCCGAGGGAGGCGGGCGCGGGGCAGGGGGATGGGCGCGGGCTCGGCCCCTCGCTGCCCCGCCGCGGGTCGCGGACCGGCCCGCCCCAGCCTCGGGCCCCGGCCCCGGCCCCGCTCCGGCTCCCGCGCCTCCCCGGCGGCGCCCCGCGTTACCTCGGGTCAGATCCAGCGGGACGTTCTCCTCGCCGCTGTCATTCCGCCCTGCGCGAAACAGACACACAAGCCGCAGTTAGGAAGCATCGCAGGCCGCCGGCGGCCAGCGCCCAAGCTCGTTTCCCCCCACCCCAGGCCCGGGGCGGGCCGAGCACCGCGGCGGCGAGCACCGAGCGCGCGGCGGGGAGCGAGGGCGGCAGCAGGCTTACCTCGTATTCGGAGGTTCTTCAGAGAGCGGCCGCGGCCGATCGCCGCCATATTGACGGGTTTCAGTCACAACACCGGAAACCTCGCCCAATCGCGCGAGAACCCCTTCCCCTCCCCGCGCGCCGCTCCCGCCCCCCCCCTCCCCACACACACGCCGCGGCAGCGCCCCCGCCCCTCGGCACCGAGACTCGTCCGCGGGCGTGGAGCAACGCGGCGCGGACCCGGGGTGGGATGCGGCACCCGGGGCGCGGAGCTGGGCTGGGCTGGGCGTCCGAGCGCAGGCGTGGTGGGAGGCGCCGTTCCCACGGGGGATTCCCATTGATGTGGATCGGACTCCGCGCGCCGCGGCGGCCCGGGATGCGGGCGGGCGGGCGGCCACCTGCTGAACCGACCGCCCTGCTCGCACTCCCCGCGTGGCTTTGGAGCCCGTTCCCTTACTCATCGGCTAACATTGTTTTATTTAAAAGGGGGTGGGGGAGCGCTGCGCACAGTTAGGAAGGTCGCTTTGATCGTTTCCCAGAACCGCGGTGCTCCAAGTGAACACGTAACATAAAGTTTGTTTGCCACCCACGCTCTGACCATTGAGCTGAGCGGCTCGGCGCTTGATCTTAGGCGAAGCGGCTCTGGCCCTGAGGCTTTTCCGAGAGCGGGCGGCAGGCAGGGTGGAGGTTTGCTTTCGGTCCGCCCGATGCTGGGCGTGAAAGGAGTGCAGAAGCGGGCGTGCAGGGCGCTCGTCCCCGCGCGGAACCGTTCCCCGGCGAGCGCCAGGAGGCCCCGAAGAGGGTTTCCTCTCCGCCTGGAGCCCCGGGAGGAGATTGGGCGCCCCGTCCTGGCTTTTGGTTACTCCTACATCACTGGCTAATGTAGACGTCGTCGTGGACAAATTTTTTTTTAATGCATACACGTAACAATTATTAGTTGTACGGGTTTCCAGAAGCGATTTATTACATACTCATTTGGCCCTTAGCCCAGGAACTCTCTTAAACTAGATTGCTTAAGTGGGGGTATTTTTGTCTCCTCGAATTCCCCATCTCTCCATTCCAAACTTAAATGTTAATTGGAAGTGAAGATCTTGTCTTAATCATTTCTTTTACAAGTGTCAAAACCAAATATCTATTGGAGGAGTAAACGCCTTCGGTTCCTTCTATTACAGTGTTCTAAACAAAAACGGAACAAACAAAAACAAAATCCCTCCAAAAAAAAAAAAAAAACACAAAAAGAAAAGAAATATTGGAGAGACTCCCCTTGTTCATAATAGTGAACAATTGCAAAGAGACTGCAAACAATTAAAAGCCCAAAGGTGCAACTTGAGCAAAATTAGTAGCCATTTACAATGACTATGTTCATCTCATGTACTGATAGTTTCTGGTGTTAGGCAAGCTATTACCAGTTTTCTGTATTAAAATAAATGTTTGAAGTACATGTGAAGTTCAAAGGATCCATTGTAAGATAATTTTACCTACCTGTAGGTACAAAAAAATTCCAGGATGTGTAGCTGAATTATTGTGGGATCACACCTGCATTGTTTTTAGTTCTTGCTTGGTCACCTTCACCTTTTAAGTGATAGTTAACCGAGAACAGTTGTAGAAGCAAAGGTTTTTCTAAGTAAAATAAAAGAGCACCAGGATAATGAACTCAGATGGTTGCTTTCTTGTACCCCAAGTCCACACATTCCAGGTTCCTCAGCTTGAGGTCTGTGTTCTGGCATCTGAGGTTGCGCTTAGATTTAAGGACCTAACACAATTATAAGTGCTTTAAAGAAATATTTCCTGACACTATCAGTACAAGCTTTGATACATGCATGCATGCATACATACATACATACATACATGCATGCATACATACATCATACATACATACATACCTTTCAAATCTCAGTGAAAGCTGTTTACTGGATTTCCAGTCTCAGATGACAACCACAAAGCTTGGGATCTGGCCAGGACATTTAAAAAATTATCTTTCATCTTTCTATCCATCACCATCACTAAAAACAAAAGAGGAGAAATCTGTCAATGAAAATTCTACCAGATTTTCAAATGATCCTTTTGGTGCTATTGTTTATCCCCACCTATTTTAAATTATTTCCTTACCTGTTTTAACTTCCTTCTCTTGCATAGAATTGTATAGTACATGAGTACAACTGATCTAATTTAGTCGAGGAAACTACTATCTTCATAACTTTATGTTCTTATTTGAAGACCAGTATTTACTTGCTCTATCTCCTCTCAGAGTGGGAAACCACACACACACACACACACACACACACACACACACACACACACACCTTTCAATCTGTCAATGAATAGTATTTGTTTCCTTCTACAGTTTCAGCCATTTAGGTGAGCTATGTTCTTCACGTTTGTTTCTGAACTAACACAAGGTCTTAATGTTTGCCTTGGCACTCAGCTAAGAATGAGGAGTTTTGTGCTGAGTTACAGTAAAGAATACATTATGTATTATGTTCATTTTTAAACTATCAATTGTAATTGACCCCAAAACATAGGCTAAATGTGTTTTTTTAAGCCTGGTTGTTTTCTGTAATACTTGTTAAAAAGTTTCCCATGAAACTTGTTTTTTTCCCTTGTTTGTTTTAACCCACCCTTAAGACTTACTCATTTTGTTTACTCTTACCACTTCTGTAATTTTATTTTGATTCTAATCTAGTCACTGTGAATATGACTTCCTCTTCTTAGTTTTCATTTCCCAGTTAGGTTTCGTTTACTGTGTCAATGAATTTTTTTTTCCAATATTAGTCATTGATAAAAAATGTCATTTGAGATGGAGTCCAAGACCACACCTCTAAATGACAACTTACTTGAATTGGGGATGCCGTGACTTCACTGATAGTCACTGTCTGGGTTCAATTCTCTGTCTTGTTGCACCCAGTTAATAATTCTAAAACTATATTTATCACTTTGAGGCACAGTTACCATGCTGAACAGAAACAAAAGCCTCCTTGCCAGGCTCTTGGTTCCTTTTTAATCTATCTGTTTTGCTACATAGGCCATATGAAGATAAAAACAAGCTGAAAACCACAAAGTTTGGTGAGACTGTTTCTTGGTAACTTCTCTTTGTTGTCAAGCCACACATTTAAAATCTAGGTAAAGGCCATTAAAATGACAAACAGTAGAGTCCGTAAGAACAGTGTTAACCATCCTTCTGCAGGTGGACAGTGGAGATCCATCTTGGATCACATCAAAACAAAGTTAAGTTAAAGGATGATTTACACACTTTGGAATTCCTTTACCTTTTATCCTGTCAAAAATAATTATTTAAATTTTATTTTAAATTATCCTGTAAGGCATAAAGGCTCCCTACAAAAGTTTTTATAATAAAAATAAACCTGTGTTGATGAAATGGAAATAGCTATATACTCATAACATCATCTTAGAAGCACACTATGATTTCAGTAGTGATTATGAGGTGCTGGAAATCTCAGTGATATTTTTGTTTTTCTCACTTTATGCTTAAACTAGAGAAATTTTCTTTGCTATTTTAAAATCAGATGGCAAACATTTGCTTACAATACTTATTTAGTTATCACTGAACATATCAAAATTGTTTTTTGTATCACTGCCATTAGAAAGAAAACATTCACACATCCCACTACACATATATATTTACTTAAGTTAAAACATAATGATAAAAAATATTAAAACTTACTGCTTTACTACTAGTAGAGATAGTAGCAGTAGGATCAAACTATTCTTAATTCTTTTCTATGCTTCTTGTTGAACCTTCTGATACAGCAGTTTAAAAGTCTGGTTTTAAAAATGAAATTCAATAAAAATAAAGCCCCACAACAATTCAAGCTAATAAACAAAAAAACCATCCTATTGCCTGAAGCTTTTAAACTATAACCTTGTGGTCCAGTTCATCAGAACTTATACCAAGATTTTGAAAAAGTAATTTAACTAATAAATGTCTTCCTTCCTGGGGTTTGACTAGTTTCCCCAAGAAACTAGAAGAAAAAACATTTCAAAAATTTCAGAATAAGGTAACAAAATGGTTTCAGAATGATTCATCTGAAAGATACTTACACAGGTAGGAAAACAATATTTTTGTCATTTGTAAGAGTGAAAATATGGAAAGCTGTGTGACATATTTATTTTTTAATCGTTTTTAGGAGAACCACAGCACTGTGAAATATAACTGTTCTTTCCCTAACCCAAGCCTCTGTTGAAAGTAATAATGTGCTCAGTTATTTGTCCAGAGGGGAAAGAGTAGATAGCAAAAATCTGATAGGTAGCGTGCTTTTGCAGCCACTAGCCATCACAGGGCAGAGAACATCAAATGTTTGCACAGCACAAAATATTTATTAGCTGCTCTCCTTATCTCAAACTGTGAAGAAATTTAACTGTAGTGAGGGTCTTGATTCTATAAAATGATCAGAGGTTAAACCATCTCTACACTTCCATTTGGATCTCCTTTAAAATTTAATCTACAGGAACTGCTTTATTGATTTCCACAGAGCATTGTTCTTATGAAGGAACTTACTTCTATAAGGATACATGTTCTTTGATCCTTTTTTACTTGGATGGTGCAAGGCTTTGGGGAGGAATTACTTAGATATTTTGGTACTGAAGAGAATTTAGCTGATACCATAAGCTGGCATGATTCCAAGCAGCTATGTTTCTTGCCAACTGTACAGCAAAATTTCCACAGAATTGTTAGATATTCTCTGCCATCGTTTACCAATGGTTCTGCATTTCAGCTCATCAACAGATCTTTTGTTTGAGTGTTGTTTCAGCTATTGTAACAAGAAATACTTCTGAATTCCCTGAAGATAATGTGAGTTTCTGTCTTTGGCTACAAAGAACTCTTTCATTTTGGAAAGTACTGAAGTCAATATTATACAACTTCTAACATAAATAAAAATATATAGATACTATACTCATAATTGACTGGTTCTTAAAAATATTTTACTAATCAGCTAGCTTTGTACTATCATTGGCTAACATTCCATGGGATAATTTATACTTAAGAGTTGAGTAATAATGGATAATGCTTGTAAATTCCTATTCATTTATTGGTAACAATTTTAATCTTTAGATATCAAATTTTACCATTATTGCTTTTCTTTCTTTCTTTCTTTTTGTTTTTGTTTTT